GAGTAAATATTTTCGATAATAGGTACTGGAAAAAAGAAATGAGCTTTTTAAACCAAGACTAGATGCATAGATAGGGACGGTAAATCACTCTGCAGAAAGAGGAAATGCTTCGCGCTAGCTCCTGTCTGGTTAGGGAAGTAGGTACAAGTGTCAGTATATTTTTTCATTCGTGAGATATATCAGAGGTATTTAACACCCTCGTACATTCAGACTAGTCTTATTAAGTACAATGAGTCTTGGAAAATGTTCTTGACATTAGATGATAGGAAAACGAGAGACTTACGTACAGATAATCGCTAACAGAGAAATCATTGAGTCGGAAAAGCGAGTCTAGTTCATTCTCCAAGTAAACTTTTCGACATAATTACTTAATTGAAGAAATATGTCTCTGTAAGGTGACAACAAAAGAGAGATTTAATTAAGACCGATGATAGTGCATATATTGAAGATATCTGACAATCAGAGTAAAGCCACTTGTTTGTAAAATACGTGCGAACAATTAAATTAATAAGATGAAATCATGGTACACAAAGTCAATTGTATAGTCATAATTACGAGTAATTACATCTTAAATTCTCAGACAGCCTCTGATGGAATTGGTCTAATTTTATGGGTAACAGTCAATGTAATTAGCTAATTATGTAAATATAGTCCATAAGTGCTGACTTACACCCACTACATTTGCTTAATTTGTTAGAGTCAACGATCATGCATAAGGAAGTGCCTACTAAAATATGATCAAGAAAGATTTTCAACGTGCTTTGTAAACTACCAAGACACAAGTTCGGTGAAATAGCAAAAATCTTGAGGCAATAGAATAGTTGATAATCGCCAGATTCATAAGCCTAAAGGAGAGTAAAATCCTATGAATTTAACGAATTGTACCAGACGATACCGGCTATACAAGTCTATCAAAGGTCGGGTACCTGTCATTTATTGCATCCTTCCAAGGAAACTGAAAGGGGTCAAGTGAACCCAAAATTGAACCTGCGGCAGGTAGGGCCACGCGCCTGGGCACGCGCAAGCTCTACAGGTACTTCTCGAAAGGGCGCTGAAAATTGCGGTTCGCCAGGTACTGACTACCTGTTGTAGTCGAGGTCAAGTGTACCGAGATTTGCCTTAATTCGCCCTGTATGCAAGAATGAGTGAGCTGGCCAGCATTAGTTAAGGAAGTATGTAAGTATAGATATGTACATACGTAGGGTGGCGAATTAGACAATTCTCGAAGATTCGCGTAAGGCTCATAAACCCACTCGACCTCAAAAGGTGCATTAAATGACACAAGAGTACTTAGTACAGACCCAGTCATCTAATAAAATGGATTTAAACACAAAAACCTCCATCATAGATTCGTTTCTTCTTTTAGAACTGAGTCTCAGAATTATGAATTGAAATCGAATGGAATTAAGCAGCGCTAAGAACGTTCAGAATAAATTAGATATCTCGATTCGAAACAAATTCAGTTTTGGCCTATTCAACTCGTTGCTTGAAAACTTCAGGGAATTAAAAATCCTTAGGGAAGGTTTAACTAAGTTAGCTAGATTTTCGCCACCAGACAGTACATGCTAGTGCCAACGGGTGAGAGTTGTGAACAGACAATTCTCCCAACAAGCCGAGCCTCGGACTGAAGAGAGATTCTCTTCCTGGAAGAGATCTGAGGCGAAGACTTCATCAGCAGAGCTACGAGGCCAATTCAAGTGGTCTTGAAGCATCTGTCACGTGACAGAATTGGCAACTCGAGTGACTAACAAAAGAGTTTTGTCACAAGTTTTGAAAGTAAATTGGGTATACTCGAGGTAACACAACTAATCGTAATTTCTTTTCAGTAAACTAGGGATTGGTGTTTAGCATAACATAAATTTTGTTTCAGCAACTTTACGTAGAATTAAGCTAATGTTACATCTTTTCACAGCTTCAACCAAATTCCGTGTGAACTGAGAAGTAATATATTCACTCTATACATAAGTTAATAATATAGATTTTGTTCATAGCTATAACTACTGTCTCTTTGCAGCAAATAATTAGACTAGGAATGACTCTAACCAGTTAACAGTAAACATTGTTTTCAGCTATAAGCAGCCTTTATTTTCAGAAAATTCTTTGATAGGGAATCACTTGACTAGTTAAGATTATTTTTCAGCTAGTATCTATTTCAGCGAATAGTAGGACAAGGAATTACTTTGATAGAATTAAATTAATATTAATAAAGTTACTTAAGAAACCTTCAGGAACAAATTAATATCAATTTTGTCCACAGCTTTAACCACCATTTTATTTCAGCGTGAATCTAGTTGATAAACTAATTCTTTTGGAAATAAGTTCTTACTTGCAGCATTAACAAGCGATTTAGCTTTAGTTATTCGTTTTACTTGAATAATTTTCCTACAGCTTATTCCAAGAGTCGTTTTATTTCTTTCAGCAAAGGAGAAGGATAATTAGTCATTGGAATAGTTATTATCCATATATTATAGGTTTTGTTATTCACATTAAAGAAAAGGGTGAACTTACCTAGTCGGAGCCAAAAAAAAAAAATTTAAGTTTAGGTTTAATAAGTTATCGTAAACATTCACTCTAGGAAGGAGCCAGGACCTGTTCGATGACTTTATAAGTCGTTCTGTGTTAGCATTCTATAGTTTCCGGTCCCGACCACGGAAAGCGGAGGAGCGTTTCGAGTTTCTTTGATAGTTTCTTCACTAGTATAGGTTGAAAAAAAAATAAATAAATCAAAATCCGAAATTGGTGGTCATTCCGTCACGTCGTACTTATAAAATTGCATAGAACGAGCGATTAGTGGCCCTCGTGGGAGTTAGATTAGAAAATAAGAGGAACATTAGGGAGTTGCTTAGATAATCGGGGTTAAGGCAAATCATTTAAGGAAAGAGAAATATATATTATATAGGTCGGTGTTAGCAGATATTAAAAAATCGATAGTCGCCGTTAGCTTAGTAAAGTCTGGAGTTATTAAGCGCTTAAATTTACCAGTTGCCCCGGACTATCATAGAATCATCACGGACATATCCGGAAAAGTTATCCAGAAAGGAGGATCAGCGAGAGTACGATTCAACCTCGGATGTATAGAAATGGAATGCTAATTCGTCATCTGCAACAATGATCTGAATTTCCCAGCCGACGGACTATTAGGCATCGATTTTTGGATCACCATCGACCTATCCTCGATTTTAATGGTGGATTAACGATAGGTTATATGGGACGATTTTACCCCTAAAAGTTATGCACCCCCTTTGGATGAATAAGCCAGCTACCGAGGCTCCTAGCTGTCGCGGATTACAAGAAGAATCTGGCTTGATTTCCGCGGACGCAAAGGAAATTGAGAAAAGGAGTCTTAGGGCCGAGGCTGACACTGTCAGCTATGGAAGTACCTTTCAAAAATTTGTACCCATAGAGACGCATTTGCGCAACCCCACACAGGTTACTACGGTGCCTGTAGTGAATAGGCGACAACTGCAGTCCTGCGAAAACGCGGATTCCCAGGGTACGGGTGCGGCGATCCCCGCGAAAAAGAGTAAGTCAGTTGCAACGAGGGGTACGAGTACTCACCTTCCTACGGGTCACCAGGAGTCAAGCACGACTTCTCTTGACGTCTTGGCCCAACAGACAACGGATCCAACCTTTTCGAAGTCCAATGCCGCCACCAGCTCTGCCTCACAATCAAATCCAAAAAGAACAATAGATTTTCAGAAATCTAGCTTGGAGGAAGCCTACAACACCAAGGGACCAAGTCTACTCAGATTGTCTGAAACAATAGAAATACCAGCTTTTCACGGGAGCGACCTTAGTATTCCGGTGGACAGTCGACACCCACCGGGTACTATGGTCTGCGAACCCCTACACGTCGCCCCAGGGATTTGCGTAGCCAGAACTCTGGTAGACATTCCAAATGACATACGGAGAAGTCGCCGGACAATCGCTATTAGAATAATCAACGTTTGTCCGTCGACTCAGACAATTCGGAAAAACACACCGATTTCGATCCTGATGAGCGCCAGCACGGAAGAGATCAGCCAAAATCTTCTTTCATCGCAAGTCAATACAATTAACTGCAGCAGTAAAGTTTCAGCAATAGGCTTTTAAAGACGACAACGGAACGTCAATGGACAATTGCCTAAAGGGTAAAGAGTGCCAGTATATAGAAATCCAGGAGCTTCTGGAGGAGTTTAAAGATATTTTTGCCGAGAAAGGAAAACCTTTAAAAGCAACGTCCCTAGTCAAGCATAGAATTGATATAGGAAACAACCCACCAGTTTATAAGCCACCTTATCGCGTACCATTTAAGTTACAACAGATAGTAAGAAAACAAGTCGACGAAATGTTAGAAGACGGAATAATCAAAACCTCGGTATCTCCCTTCAGCGCGCCAGTGGTGATCGTAGAACAGCTGACTAAGGAAGGAGAAAAGAAGTATCGTTTCTGTATCGACTACCGTGGACTCAACGCAATAACCAAGAGAGACTTCTTTCCGATTCCCAATATCAACGAGACCTTAGATTCTTTAGGTGGAGCAGAACTTTTCTCGACGCTGGACATGACGAAAGGATATTGGCAGGTGGAATTAGATCCGAATGATAAAGAAAAGACTGCGTTCTCGGTGCCATGGGGGCACTACGAGTGCAACAGGATGCCATTTGGATTAGTCAACGCACCAGCAACATGGATGAGGTTAATGTATGCGGTGTTGTCAGGTCTCACAGGGTCACACTGTTTCGTCTACCTCGACGATATAATCTGTTTTTCAAGGAATGATGTCAAGGAAGACGTAACCAAGCTCCGAGACATATTTTTGAAAGTTCGAGAAGCGGGCTTAACGCTGAACAAGGACAAGTGCGAATTCCTCAAGACCCAAACCGGTTACCTAGGTCACATAGTGAGCAAAGACGGCGTAAAACCAGATCCAGCAAAGGTCGAAGCAATCCGAAATTATCCACCACCAAAGGACGTCAGCCAAATCAGAGCTTTTCTAGGGTTAGTTGGTTACTATCGGCGGTTCGTCAAGAACTTTTCCCAGCTGGCTTTACCATTAACCAATCTCACACGGAAAAACATACCATTCTAATGGGATTTGTCATGCCAGGATGCCTTCCACCAGTTAAAAACAGCACTCGTTGAAGAACCAATACTGAAGTACCCTGACTTTAACAAGAAGTTAATTCTAGCGACGGATGCATCAGGTTTTGCTATTGGGGCAATTCTCAGTCAAGAGTATGATGGAGTAGAGCTTCCCATCGCTTACGTCAGCAGGCAACTGAAGAAAGCCGAGCGGAACTACAGCACTACCGAAAGGGAATGTTTGGCGTTGGTCTGGAGCATCAAACATTTTCGCTGTTACTTGTATGGAACAGACTTCACCGTTTACACCGATCACCAACCACTGAAGTGGCTTATGGGAGTAAAGGAAGCAAACAACCGCCTGATGAGATGGTCACTAGCTTAAGCCTATAAGATGGCTGAGGGCCGGAGAAGAAGAAACGCCAGTGTGGGACCGAGAAGAGATCAGAAGACAACAGATATCAGACGAAAAGGTAATGAAGATCATCAAGGAAGTCCTCAGCAATACGGTTAAGGACTACTACCTAGATCTAGATGGAGTGCTCTTCAAAAGATCGGACGATAACCGGCACGGCGATACCTTAGTTGCACCCAGAAATTTGATACCGGCCATACTTAAGTTATATCACGACTTACCACTTTCAGGGCATGCAGGAGTCGATAAAACTTACGATAGAATAAAACGAGCCTTCGTGTGGGCAGGAATGGTCGCGGACATTCGAGCTTACGTAAACGCTTGTGTGTGTCCTGCGCGCAGAGAAAGACTTCACCACACCAAAAGCCCGCGCCATTGGTAAAAAGCGAACCCCCCAAAAGGCCATTTTATAGAATAGCCATGGACGTGGTGGGACCTTTGCCTGTAACCTTGAGAGGTAACAAATACGTACTAACAGTACAGGACGCCTTGACCAAGTACGTGGAAGCCTTTCCGATGCAAGACCAAACAGCCAATACCGTTGCGAGGACCTTCATCAAAGGAATCATTCTACGCCATGGGACGCCGAGACAGCTTTTGACAGACCTAGGAACCAACTTTACTTCCAAGCTGATACGTGAAGTTTGTGAGACCTTACAGATAAAGCACCTGAAAACCACTGCATACAGACCACAAGCCAATGGAGCCTTGGAGAGGTTTCATCGCACATTAAAGAATATGCTCAGTCACTACATACAGCCGGATCAGCGGGACTGGGATGAATGGCTGCCCTACGCCTTAGCAGCCTATTCTTCGATGACGCATTCGTCTACTGGAGAAAGTCCATTTTTCCTTTTGTATGGCAGGGACATGGACTACCCATACGATGACATCTTCAAACCACTAAGGGTGAGATACGACGCGGATTCAAACTATGCGGCGGAACTCATGCAGCGTATGAAGATTGCTCACAGAAATGCTCTCGACAATCTAAAGAGAAGCACGAACGAACACACACTCAATTCAATAAGAAAGCTGAAGAGGTAAAACTCCAGAGAGGAGATCGGGTATATCTTTGGGATCCCGCGGATAAGGTCGGGATTAGTAGTAAACTAGCCAAGAAGTGGACAGGACCGTACAGGATAATCGATCTACGGAAAGTGACAGCCACGATAAGGGAGATACATGGGGTTAAGGAACAGAAGGTTCATGTCAACCGGTTGAAAAAATGTCTGGCCACAGAAGATCCAGGAAACCAACTAGGAAATGTACCCATAAAGTTCCGACTGACAGAAAATATACCACCAATCGGAATCGGAATTTATCGAGGACAAGGACGGGTAACGCAAAACAATACAGGTAACGAAGTGGCTGATCCTTACTTGTCCAATCCTCCTTCACCTGTAGTTAGCCCCATTCCTCTTAATGACACCTATGTAGGTGATGCTTGGGCGGACCCACCGGCCCTTGCGGAAGTAGCAGAATCCGCAGGAGAGTCGATAAGAGAAGAAAATTCGTCAGGAAGCACCGAGTCCACGTCATACCTTCCCGTGGACGAAACTAGTTTCTACGCGACACCCAGTTCTCCCAGCGAAGAGGAGTGCGTAGAAGAAGACGGCAAATTGGGTAGCTTCGAGACGTCCATCTCGCCTAGGAGGATTGCAAAGAACAGAGAAGATGAGGACGGAGACACTCCTCCAAGCCCTATCGACCACAAGAGAGAAGAGGATCGAGATCTGGAGACAGAATTATTACCGGCAGAAGAAGAACCCACCGGACAACAAACTCATCAGGAACTAGCAAGAAGACATACCAGGAGTCAAGGGCCAGTACCAGATTTACCTTGGGTTACTGACCACCGCTTTTAATACCACAGCCACTTCGCAACGCCCAGAGCCATGTATAGTCACTTCGACTACTAAACATTCTTATTTTTCAGATGTTCGGGCTACTCGTCATCCTTGCAGCTAGCATGCAGCTGTTAGAGGCGGACATCATCGCCTACGACTGCAAGGACGACTCCGTGGAGCTCACGAAAGTCTCGCTGTTGAAGGTGAAGCCATGTCTGGACCCGAGGAAGGCGGAGGAAACCAAACCATGGGACATCCAGCTGGTCCAGAAACGCCAATACGTGGGGGTCCACGTATACACCTGCCTGATCACCGTGCAACAAACTATCCAGCATTGCGGGATGCACTCGCACTCCAGCACAGTCGCAGGGGGCCTAGGAAAGTATGTCCTGGATCTGTCAGACTCCGAATGCAGAAAAGCGCAGAGATTCCAACACTTGGACCTGAGAGCAATCGGAGCTGGTATGGTGTCCCAGCTCACGAAAAATGGAACGACGGAGATTTCCACAACCCTGCAAGGACAACTAGACACAGAAGGCCGCTGTGAGGGAGTGACCTTCACAGTAGGAGAGGTTGTCTACAAAAACGTAGTCGTGTCAGGAGCTATCACCATCAAGCTGTCTGACTACGACACAGTTGCCAATGTGGAGCTAAACACCATCCACCTGAGGAGCGGCACCATCTGCCCATTCAATGATGGCGCCTGTTTCGACGATTTATCCGGAATCGCACTTTGGGAGTCCCACTACGAAGACCAGTGCACCAACAAAGGAGTTGACGTATTATACGAAGGAAATGCCACCCTTCTCACCTTACGTAAAGATCCACTGATCCAGTACGTGATTGTGGAGACGGACGACACAGTATTTGCCCTGAAGCTGACGAAGCCAGAAGACCTTTGCCATCAACACGCCTGGCAAACAGAACAAAACCGCCTGCTAGTGATTTTCCGGGACTCCATAGGATTCTACTTCCGGAAATCAACGAAGATAGCCCAGAATACCGACATGATGGCGCACGTTCTAAGTAAGCTACTATACTTAGAGATTGCAGTCAAACGCTACATGGCTGATATAGTCTATGACGCCATTGTAAAAAGATGTCAACTCCGAGAGAAGATCCTTCAAAACCGCATCACGATGGCACTTCAAGCTCCAGATCTGATAGGCAACCTGATCAAGGAAACTACAGGATACGTAGGACGAGTAATGGGAGAGGTCCTATACATCGCTAAATGCAAACCTATAGTGGTAGAAATACGAAAATCCCAAAAATGCTACCAAGAACTACCCGTGACATACAACAACGAGACATGGTACCGGACGCCCATTAGTCACATACTCGTCCAACATGGTAAAGAAGTAGACTGCCAACCTCTCCTACCAGCCAACTTCCAACTTGAAGGGACCTGGATCGAGATCTCGCCGGCGTTGAAGAGGACATCGTCAGTAATGGAGTTGGACGCGAACGAAGAAAGGACACCATCACTCTAACGAAGATATCGCCTATTTCCTCCCATGGTCTCTACACAAAAGAGGAAATGGACACCTTTCAACAAGCCCTATTGTTCCCGAATGAACGTGAGGCTGTAGCGAACGAGATGGCAAGGCGCCTCGCCGGAAGAAAAAATACAACCAACCGCTACTACATGCCAGGACTCTTTACGAGAGAAGAGTTCAAGAACATCGCCATTACTGCGGCGGAACATGTATGGGGGTTCCTATCACGTATGGGCAACATCTTCTCGGTGTGTGCATTCCTATACACCATGCTATGTATTGCCAGCTATGTCGCCAGTGTGATCGCGAACTATTTCACACTCCGAAACGCAGCGAGGAACCATCCGAGGAGGAGACGCTACCTATGGGCTAGTTTATGGCAGGCTCTAGCTCACCGTTATCTGTACCACCTACACACACAGCGAGAAGGGCAGTTCGAACTTCAAGAAATCAACCACCAGAGTAATGCCGAGACCACAACGGAGGTGGACGTCGCCATCCAAGTAGAGCCGGTACCCACGGCTCCGGGCTATCCACAACTGAGGCCGTGCAAGGATAGCACGTGCCTGGATCCACACGCAGTGGCGTATCAATAGATCACAAGAAAATCTTCCTTACTTTTCTGTTTCATATTTTTTCTTTATTTTAACTATTATTCCATTTATCCTATTGTTAAGCTATGCCTTCCGAACAATTTTATTTGTTCCATGATCCGAAAAAAAATTGTTCCGTCTAAGGGGGGGGGGTAATGTAGCAATGTAGCTATCAATTTTAAGTTCGTTGAAATAATCTGTCACGCCGCCTGCCCTTGTAGAAATTCGTCGCATCCATGGAATAAAAACAAACAAACAGAACAAACACTCGCATCTGCAAACCACCCGGCGAACGCCGAGGGAAACCAAATTCATAATTCGAAGAAAATAGATAATAGAACCGGATGCTATAAAGTTAATGTAGCCGACCAAGTTATCATTTTAAATTCATTGAAATAAAGATAAACATAAAAACTAAGGACGGAACAAACACTCGCATCTGCAAACCACCCAGCGAACGCCGAGGGAAACCAAATTCATAATTCGAAGAAATAGATAATAGAACCGGATGTTATAAAGTTGGGCCTTTTCAAATATGCTGGGACAAAAACATGGTTTGGAGATGTATTCTGAAATAACATTTGGATGCTATAACCATAAAGCTTACAACCGAAGGAACTCAGTTAAACTTGAAACTCAACCATTTGGGTAGCAAATGTCAGAAGCTACCCCGGGCGCTGAACGGTCAAGCGTTAGAGGCGTATCATGGAATATCTAAGACTTCCGAAGGCTAGCATATTACTAAGTTGTCACGATTGTGGGAAAATATGATGAAAAAAGAGGAGGCAAACAGCTAGGTTTTAGTAGAATTTTCCCCTAGCTGATAGGAGAAGGTGCGCCAGACTGGAAACGATTCTACCTTCTGTCAACGTACGCGTTGACAGATGCGGCTTGGAAATTATCATTGAGAGGGGCAGCTGAAACTAACGAAAGACTGCGTAGTTCCAACAAAGCTAATCTTGTTAAAATATGTTAAAATTCCAGAAGAAAGTCACCGTTAGTTTCACCTAAATGCTATGTAAAAAAATTTTATAATTATTTAAGAGGACATCTCGAACTGTGGCCTCAGCATTGTAGGAATTCCCAATCCATTGAAATTATCGAAAATTGCGGGATCCGCCCCTAAGCAAATAGAGCCACGAGACGCCACTGAAGGGGGCGTGTCGTGTTAACTTAAGGGAAGACTGTATGCTGACGCCACTCCTTGAGGTGGGACAAGGGAACGTAATTAACCAATAGAGTTTAAGGTCATTTTGTGTTCAAAGATTAAGTCTAACAATCATTGGTCAGGTTCGTCTCTATCTTTAGAGAACCAGACGGCCATTCCAAGGGTTGTAAACTGATCGACCAATGAAGAGACACGGGTTGAACTTCTAAGTAAAAGTGACCAGCCTTCTGATGGAGGGGAAAATCCGCAACTGACCTCCGACAGTTTTGAAACTAAAAACTTCAGTTCTTCTCTCATCTTTGATTTGTACGGTTAACAAAGTTGCTTCGATTTTCCCTCAGTTGGTGGCTGTTAATAAGTGTTGCGTTGTTGAATTGTGTCAAGTTGTGTTCCAATCAGTAAGCACTTCAAGTAACAAAAAGGAGGCTTTTCCCCCTTTAGCCCTTCTGGCTAAAGCTATATTAACACCTAGTCCACTAAGGATTCTAGGAACTAGCCTGATTAATTAGCACTCTAAAGTTGAGATTCTTAAGTTTAATTTTGCCATAGGTTCAAACATGAAATTATTGTAATTTAGTTGTCACCGTTCCTTTTAACTTAGCCGTAGTTCACTCCTCCAGTGATCTTTTCCCCAGTCTGTTAGTTATACGGCGTTAATGATTCTTGTCATTGCTGAAAAAGCACAAGTTCGAGTTTGTGATTCATTTAATAATAAAAATTGGCCTCCTCTAACTTGAGTTTCATTAAACTTATTAACTGAAGCTAACGGAGTTCGACGGTTCCGAAAGTGTTCGTTCGGGGCGTTCACCATGTTCCCTGGAGCACTCGAAGAGCAGAAGAGGCAACGTTCTGCGCAAAGTGAGTGTTTCAATGAGTCATGATTCTAATTACTTATGTCAGGTTCTACGTGAGTCTACCTCCCATAGGAAGACAGTAAAAGGTAACAGAAGCTGAAATTCGAGTGGTCTCGGGCCAGTCCAGAAATTAGAGCATTAGACTGAAGATCTAACTATATATTCAAGGCACGACATTGAGGGGCCCGGGAGTCTCGGACGAAGTTACTGTTACAGTTAAAAGTGGTTTTGCCTGACTTGGGATCAAAACTCAAAATATACTGAGTGACAAAAAAAGGTAAACACCTATGTTTATTGCATGTATTTTTTACATATCGATTTATCTTGCCATGAACAACAAGTGATAAAATGATCAGGTGTTTCTGTTAAGTTTTTGAGATAACTGCGTGTATTGTTTGGTGATAAAGAAGCATTCAGTTTTCGTACATTTACGAATCCCGCTTCTGTCTGGGGATGCACGATGGTCGAACAAGAGTGAGAAGGCGACGTGGTGAAAGACGTGACCCACAATTTGACAGAGAGCGTCACGATCATCGCACCATGGGAGTTATGGTATGGGGTGTTATTGCTTATGGTAGCAGATCACCACTAATTTTTATCAGAGGCAATATGGCAGCCCGACGCTATATTCAGGAAGTAGTGGAGCCTCATCTTATTCCATACCTAAACACCACCCAAAACCCGATTTTTCAGCAAGACAATGCCAGACCGCATGTTGCCAGAGCATCGTTAGCCTTCATGGATCAACACTGCATCAACCGTCTACCTTGTCCACCACGATCGCCTGACCTATCTCCAACTGAACATGACTGGGGCATGATACGTCTCAAGCTCTTGAATTTGCAACACCCTCCACAGACCTTAGCAGCTCTTACTCACGACGTTGCAGTAGCCTGGAATGAGATACCCCACAGGATATCGACCACCTTATCAACACGATGCCCAGGCGTATCAATGAGTGTATAAGAAATCGTGGATCTTCAATACATTATTGAAAGAGCTCCTGCAGTCAGTTGACCAATCAAGCTGAAAATTTAATCATTTTACTAGTAAGAACACTGAACATATATGCCAAAAATTATTCAAATCGTTTAAACATACGTAGGCGTTTACCTTTTTTGTCAATTAGTAAATGTTCAGATAGTTTCTGAAAATTACCAGAATAATCATCAGAGTTAATCTAACTATTTTTTTGGGTGAAAAGCTCAAGATTTTGTCCATATACGAGGGTGGTCAAAGAAGTAACCGGCCTGACCTAGAGATGGCGATAGTTGTTTGAAAAATATCATTGTATTAGAAAGTATGCAACCTATAAAGCATATGTGTCAAGTTTGAAGACGCCACGTTGTTTAGTATTTCTTTGGCAGCCATCAATACTTAACGTTTTCAGTGAATTTGTGAAAATGGAGAAAATTGGTCATCGTTATGCGGTACAATACTTTCGTTTCAAAAGCCTTAGCCCAACCAATATAAAAGCTGAACTGGATTCTACTCTGGGTGAGTGTGCTCCTTCGTTTACAACAGTAAAATATTGGGTAGCAGAGTTTAAACGAGGCCGCATGAGCTGCCAAGACGAGCATCGCAGTGGTCGACCAAATGAGGTGACGACTCCAGAAATGGTGAAGAAAATTCACAAAGCGGTACTGAATGATCGTCGACTGAAAGTGCGCCAGCTGGCAGACCTAGTAGGCATTTCAAAAAGTGCAGTTCATCGCATATTATCTGAACATTTGGACATGAGAAAGCTGTGTGCAAGATGGGTGCCACGATGGCTCACAATCGAGCAAAAACAGTGATGTGAAGATGTTTCAATTGAGTGTTTAGCGAAGTTTCACAGCAAAAAAGCAGAATTTCTGCGTCGTTTCATAACCATGGATGAAACTTGGGTCCATCACTTCAAACCGGAGACAAAAGAACAATCAAAACAATCGACTCAAAAGGGACAACCGGCTCCAAAGAAGGCGAAGACCGTTTCATCTGCAGGCAAGGTTATGGCGTCGGTTTTTTGGGATGCGCGTGGGATAATTTTCATTGACTATCTTGAAAAAGGTAAAACTATCAACGGCGAGTATTATGCGAACTTATTGCAAAGTTTGAGCGATGAAATCAAGCAAAAACGGCCGCATTTGGTTAAGAAGAAAGTGTTGTTTCATCAAGATAATGCACCAGCTGACAAATCCGTTATTGCAATGGCAAAAATTAAAAAATCAAAGTTTGAATTGTTACCTCATGCACCCTATTCACCAGATTAGCCCACTCGGATTATTTTCTGTTTCCAAACTTGAAAATATGGATCAGTGGTCAAAGATTTTCCAACGATGAAGAAGTGATGTCGGCAGTTAATGGCTATTTTGAGGAGCAAGATAGTTCTTATTATAAAAAGGGTATCGAACTTATTGAACATTTCTGGGAAAACTGTATAGGGCTCAAAGGAGATGATGTTGAAAAATAAACACATTTTTTTACAAATTTTTTGTGTTTTCTTCGTTGGGTCGGGTACTTCTGGGACCACCCTCGTAAAAATTAACTATAAACTACACCTATAAACAGAGCTTAAGTATTTTTCGTAGGTAGAAACCATTTGATTTTTTAGTCTGTGGAGGATCGATCGCGTTTGTGGGTTTTCACAAGCTTTTATTTAACTTGACCTATTAGTTAGCACTTCTGACCGCTAAAATCAGCCAAAAGTGGTTATGACCAAGAGTATCGTACAAAACCAGTTCTGATCGATTTTTTTGGTCAAAAGTGCTTTTGGCGGATTATGAGTTTTGGCTGCAACATCTATATATGTACGCGCCAGATCGGCACAAAATCAAATAGATGCATTGCAGTATTGGAGCTGGTTGCTACAATATCAGTAGATAAGCATATGGAACACCTCCAGCGCTTGTATAAGTGGTTGGTAGGAGGGGTACCCTAGTTGCCAGGCTTTACATCCCCACCACTAATACATACCCTCGAAGGAATCTATTAATGTTCTA